TTCTTCAAAAAGGGGATTCAGCTGCGATACTGAAAGTAAGAAAACAGTGATAGAGTAATCGAAGGCGCACCTGGTACTTTTGACTTGAAATGGAATATTGCAGAACTCAATTTACTGGGTCTACATTTTTGTTACAAGGAAAAGTACCCGGGTCACAATAGGACAGAACAGTCAGTCTGATACTTACACTTCTGGCCATGGATAGTGCATCTGGACAACACTAACACCACCGTGACGCCAGTAACGAACGTCATTGTTCCGGTCAGCCGATAACGTTTGTGCACCATAATCAATAGCTTTCTCATGAGGCATTGTAGCTGAATTGACCAACCACAACACAGCAAGACGTATATCCAATCAAAATAGGGAGAGCATGCTGACCGCTAATAGGCCAACTGTTGTGTTCGTTGGCTGCTGTTCACAAATGTCTATTCAGCCCTCTGAGTGTACAGATCGACAGAGGTGAACAATGATCTGATATCGAATCATACCTGTTCTTGCGTTACGTCTTCTGGTTTATCCAGTAGCCGTTCCGCATCGTTGCTCGAATGCCCACTGGAAGTGACAAAATTAGCCGTGTTGGTTTGGTTTCCTTGTGTGCTTTCAAAAGTCCCCAGGCGTGTAAGGGGCTAGATTCTTGAGCCCTCATCCTGAAACACTCTTCGGTTTTGATCTTTGAAAGTTTGTCATTTACTTGAGCTTGTCATCTAATTTGGGTTGCTCTTCCTCCAGGCGGCGATGCCTGGTAGCATATATGGGGAGAGCTGGTTACTGTAGAGATTCCTTATCCATGAATAGTTATTATCTCAGTCTTGAGAACTTGTTTCCAAGACTAGTTTTCTTCTCGTCGGTAGCGGATCTGACGCTCTGTGTGAGATCCATTTCTATCGTTCACGAACAGGTACTTCCTGATACGGTTATGCGCATCCGTTATCACGAATCCAACCATCCGTCTACCGTTTGTTCTCGCAAAAGTCTAGGCTTGCGGGGGATAGGTTACACTAACTAGAAGCATGCATTTTCGCAAGCCTTCACGGTGCACACTTAGCTGTTGTCGCGTGAGGGCTTGAAGGCAGACGAAATTATTTCATGAATGGGCAGTTTTAAGAGAATAAAGCCCGGAATTGTTTGTAGCCATATGTTGAAATAACAGTACCTCGGTCGCATTCAGTGTTAGCTGACCATGTGTCTGTTGATCTGCTCTCCGAGGTTGGCACATGGTTTGCTTGTGTTCAGCTCGCACTGGTGGATTACTGGTAAGAGCTTTACTTGCCACGTCTATTATCAGGGTTGAAATTCCCGTTTGGCGAAGCAGGAGCACTGTTGATATGCACGAAAAAGACCAAAACCAAGAGGAAATCGAAAGCTTCCATCTTTTAGTGCAGGAAAAAAATAACAATGGAGTCAGACTGGTAGGAGGGGTGTTTAGACGAAGGTCATGTTAATGCAGATTGGTGTAGATCAATTCTATACCACTCTCTATCTTGTTCTGAAAAACCATGTCTCCTAGTTCCGTCAGCAGGTATTCATTTGGACTTGCGTTGCACTGAATCATCTGTGAGTACGTTTGCTGATAAAGGTTCGCGCATGCCTTATTGCAAAAATCATGCCGCAGTAATACTGGACAAAGTGGTTTTACTTGGACTAAAACAACCAGTGAGTAAGCTTACATCGGTCGGGTAATTGAAGCAGTAAGCCTTATTTTTTTGTATTTGTTTATCTGAACTGCAATATTCTTTTCATTAACCACTAGCGAACTCAATTGCTTTTGTATCATCCCGCCCCACATTACGCCCAACTTCGTTCATATTAGTCACCAGCGTCAAATAAAATTCAGAACTTCTGCGATTAAAACATTTGTGGTGAAATGTACCTCAAATTATTGAGAAAACGGGTGAGATGTGATCAATCTGTCTTTACGCATGTTCATTTGTAAATCTGCCTCCTTAGATCTATTCCGATTTCATCGTTGTGGTGAAGGAAAGTGAATCCTGGTTTCAGATCTTCGGAAAATCGGACAACCAGTAGAGATGCCTGCACATGTTTGAAATGATTTGAGGCACAGCACATCTCAGTGTTTGAACGCAAACGCGCACTTCGACAGTGTAAAACGACAGTCACCTAGGCTTGCGCAACCTGTGGAACCATATATCTTAGTAAACTCGGACTCGCCGACGGTCAGCACATTCATTCCGAACTACCACTGATGCGCAAGTTAAGTACTCCTGCTGTCATTTTCTTACCTCTCTATTGTTGTGCTACGTAGCGATCCAACTACTGGTTGGCCACTTAGATACCCACTTCCCTTTGAGAGGTCGTTCGGGAAACGCGTGGTATCCAGCTGAAGCTTGATGGAATCTGACGGAATCTGGGCTAGCGTGAGGTACACAACGTCCCTCTGCCTGTTTCTCTACCACTTGTATTCCTTTGTACTGACACTGGCATCAAGGGATTGCACATAGCACATCAGAGTCCACAATATAAGCTCTACTCTGTAGTTTTAGTCGACACAATGTTAACAGAACCACCAAAGTTTGAGCTCCGCTGAGGCTGTAAGTTTGCTTACCGAATCTCAGCTCACATTTTCAAGCTCGGTTCGGACGGGGACCGATAGCACATCCTTAAGAAAGTCAAAGTTTCATCCTGTTAGGATAATACTTCTGCAGAAAATTCAGCAGTTTTTCCAAAATTCTCAGTATAATAGAAACTATTTTTTAGTAAGTGCAGTAGAACTGATTTCTACAATGAGTTTGTTGATGGAGTTCGGTAATAATTTCCACAACAACAGAGATGGGGTGAAATTTCTTCCAGAAGCAGCCAGAAAATAGGTAAGCGTGTTACAAAATCCACAGAATATTCTGTCGTCTTCTCAGAGACGCTTAACTGCACTTGGTACAAAAGCACACAGTATAACAGGACAATATTTACGAATGAATAAACAACCGTGTTGAATGTTCTACACCCAGTTCACATTCAGCACTTGCCGTTTAGAAGCACAGGAGTTCTTCCACAAGAGGTAGTCAGCGGCTAGTTGTTTTGTTGTTCTCCTCCCATTGCGTGGATTTTGGTGAGGAAACGGTGTATATGCTTGTACAATGCTTTCAACCAGCTGAATCCGGTAACTAACTGACGTCGATTTGAACGTTAATCAGTTGCATACAAATCCTACGTGGAACAGCTGTTGGCCGGTACCTGAAGGTACAGTGTGAATAGCATATTATAAGCATGTGATATGACACAAGAACACAACACCCGTTCCTATTAGAAAACAATATACTGTACTGTCTTCCTTTTCCATGTGAGTGGATCTCGCAGCCATGGTATAGGAGATATTGCTGAATACAGGTAGGTGGGGTGCGCTGATAGGTCGTTGGTCTGTTCGTCGAGCTTGGCACTTGGATTATAAACGTTTCATCACCAATCGAGATAATATCGTCAGTGCATCGTTAATGCGTAGGTTCCGGCGTCCTAGGTGAATGCGATTGAGTAGGATGCCTGTTGAACCTATCGTCAGTGCATAGTTAATGCGTAGGTTCCGTCCTTCCCTCGGTGAATGCGGTTGAGTGGGATGCCTGTTGAGCCTACCGGGAAGAACAGCGTCGTCATCAGGTGAAATCTATGTCGTACTGGATTTCTTGAATTTCATCCACTGACGTCGTTGTACCCCTCAATTTTGATCTCATATGTGCCATCACACTACCCAATAACATCACACCTCGTGTTTGATCTATGAACTTCATTCGTTTACCAAAACTCTGTTGTTGACCGCTTCCGACATCTTAGGTTGATATCATTCAATCAGCCGGCCAATGCTACAGGAGAACATGATATTCATCATACCCGTACTTTACGTGTGAACACTATTGCAGCCCGTTAGATCATCTGTCTATTAGTGAAAGGAAGAAGGTCTTTGCTGAGGATTTGTTTATCAGAAAACACCAAATGGACAGTTACAGACTACTGGACAGTGAAGCAAAACCCTCATATCCATCTTGTTTATAAACACTTCTCGAACGTGTCTTCCTGAACTTTCCTGAATATTCATTGACTGTGGCTCAAATCCATGCAAATGCTACAAAGCGACTCCACAAATTCCGTAATAGATCTCACTTTTCAAGAGACACGAAGTGGATTTACGAGAGAACATACTGCTCGCATGCCCCATCAGTAGCATCCACCGTGAAATTTTTGCCCCGGTTCATAGCATTAAAACACTCTCGTCCTCTTGAACTAGATCATTCACTACGTTTTTATGTAGCTGTCTTTGAGGCATCATATCCCTGGCTTGTGAATCAACGGAGTTATCGAAAAAAATCGGTAAGCTTCAGATAAACTCACGCAGTAAACTCACATCCGATTTTGGGCCATACATTCGGAAATGGATGTGTTAACCCGTGTTTACCGACCTGTTTTGAACCGTGCATCCCTCGTAGCATGGTGCAAATGGTCATTTCCCTTACTTACCCACCCACTCCTCGCCCTCGAAAAAAAAACACCAAGTAAAACAACTACTTACTTCTGCGTGGTAACTGTGGGGTTTTGCTCAAATTCGTGCCAACGTTGTCCATAGGAAGAATAAACTCCATGACAAATTTGAGGATATCGGGAGAAGGAAAACAAATAAAACGTTCCATTTTAACGATCACATCGGAACGCTTTCTCTCCCGTTCTGACGTTCAAGTGTCGTGAAATGAAGTTTTGCAAGTGTTAATTCAGACATATTCATACATAGGATTCGGTTTTTCTTACATCACTAAGTTTAACAAATATACACCTCGAAACAAAAGCAAAATGATTGAGTAAAGTTAGTGGTGTGGCATACAACAGGATCTACTATTCGCAGAATAAATGAGGAGGGCTAACTCGCGCCGAATTCAACGGGAATGATCCTGACGATCCCAAAGCTAGGAAGTACTCACATTTCAGGAGGACGATGCTCAAGTAACCGTGGCACCCAAATAGTTAGAGTGAAAAGTGAAAGTATGGTACTAATTTTTATTCACACTTTCACGGGTTAATGGGTGCAGGGTTTTGTACAATCAATCGATTTTCGTAGCATATAAGCCTCCCCGTCCGCGCTTGAAAGCAAGCCATTACGCGCTTCGATCAAGGTATCTTCAGCAAACCTGTCAGCCGTAATTGAGCCATGTTGATCTGAACAAACGTACATCATTAATAATAATACTATAACACAAAAATCACCCACTGATTCCATGGAAATATTACAAACCCTTCCAGACAATTTTTGCAGTCGCTTTTCTGCCTCCTCCAGATAATGTCTTGCTTGATCCTGACTGGTTACTGCTAGACCGATGGCTGCGTTCAGAGGGACCGAAGGTTGAGTTCTTCCATGTAAACGAACAGAAAAGGCAAAAAAGGTTTATTCGAATATGTTTACAACGCACTTCGCACAGAAAGGTATAAGATGAAAAGACATGACATTTCTTGAAAGGTTCTAAACAGGCCATTTCGGGAACTACCAATTGGTTGTCACCTGTCTGCTTCGGACATGAATGCGGACATATCAGGACCATCCAGATAATTGACCGCGTAAGTGCAAGCTGTTGCACCTAACCAGCGAAGCACTCAGACATGTGTCCAGGCGAGAAACTATATGCTTTGACTATACATGAATCATGATAGCTATGACAACTTTTAGAAGTTTTGGATGCTGGAATTTCCAGTCGAGGTTTCACAACTCAAGCTCAATAAATGATCTGAAAAGTGATTCTTGAGTAATGGCGAATATGAAGTGATCCATATCTGTTAATTTTTGGCCAGGTGGCTGTTTATCCGCAAACGTTGCATTGCTACTCATGGGAGGTAACTTCAATGAGATGTGTCACATATCACAATGGTTCGATAGCGACTTTCAACTTCTTCTGGAACACGCCAGGAAAGATCTAACATAAAGATGTTTGCGACAGTCTCCATAGGAATTGGCCCAGTTTCGGAAAAAATTTAACCCAGAACTTGATGGATATTTTTCATTTATTCTGATAAAATCGTCAGAGTAACGCTGGTTTTGCATGTACCTAACAGCGGTGCATCGCAGGGAATATAACAATACTAAATGTGCCACCGGACTTGTCTGAAGTCAGCCGGTAAGCAGTTGCAATTAGTAACAGTGAAAGGAGGAAAACCTTTGCTGCAAAGTCATTTGTTAGCGAACAATAGGTTACAAGCCACTAGACACAAAATCAAAAATCTCAGATGCACAGAGCTCTTAAGCGTCTTCTTGAACTTCCCTAAACGTTCTTAGACTATTAAACGACTATAAACGAACGAAGAGGTCGCACAATTTTAATAGCACCCTTCACCTTTCCTCTGATACGGGGCCGTAGCCTGGACAACGGCTACTTGCATGCGTCAGCAGTAGCATACGTCGTTATACTGGTGTAATGCTGGTTACTACTGATGAGGCATGTGAGTGTTGTTTTCTCGTAAATCCGCTTCGCGTCTCTTGAAAAGTGAGATCTATTGCGGAATTTGTGGAGTCGCTTTGTGGCATCTGCTTGCATTCGAGTAACAGTCAATGAATTTCCAGGTACGTTCAGGAAGACGCGTTCAAGGAGAAGATGGACGGTTTTGTAAACAAGATGCATATGAGAGTTTTGCCCACGTGTCCAATAGTTTGTAACTGTTCAGACGGTGTTTGCCTAATAAACAACTCCCCAGCAAAGGCCTGCATTTCACTGGCATGTGCTAAACGCCGTCTAATCTTGACCTTGATCATGAAATGGATGGACAGTGTACGATGTATACTACGTTTGTTAGTACCTCTGCTGAAACTGTTCTGTATCTTTAGATTTTGCACCTCTTCAACAACTGAAACAGCACCAAAGAAAGTCAGATGACGCGTTGCGGAGAGGATTAACGAATCTTCACGCGCTTAACTACAAAGCTACACGGATAGCTGTTGAAAAGTATCTGCTGGTCTGTGATAACAGGAGTATGAAGAGCGATTTTAGCCATTTGTGCTTCTGTGATATCCATACTCATTAAGCACTTCTACACGCTTAACTACAAAGCTACACGGATAGCTGTTGAAAAGTATCTGCTGGTCGCAGCATGCCATCGAACCAGGGCGACGATATACACAACTGTCTGCTCTGAAATGTGCAGCACTAATTGCGTCATGGCTACTGTCTGCATGCGTGTTATCCGATATCTGGTACTGTTCACGCCAGAGCAGTGGTGCGCCGTAAAGCAGTGGTGCGTTCGGTATGCAAGCCATCGCCATCGGCTCTAGCAACAATAACCGTAGCCAAATGACCCGACTGAACTACGCGACTTCCGGCAAACGTTTTCGTTTATAGATTCGGACGATTAAAATTCTAGTACCGTTGTGTCGTGTTCTCCTCTATAGAATAATTGCCTCTGTATTGACCGTCTTGGTGAAAGCAAATCGGCGACTTTGTGAACTTTGCCGAGGTCTTCACTTCTTGTCTATTTCAACGAATACTGCGGGGTACTCTCCACAGTTAGCCAACTGTCCATATCCCACTGTGCACCAGTTTAAGATTTTACAGGTCGGTACACATGGTTGGCTGCTGATCAGGTGGCAACTGATTCTCCGAGCTTGGCGATTGGCCTACAAGCGCTTCGTCACCATGAAAGGAGACATCGTCAGCGCGCGGTTGGGTGGGTTAGACCTCCACTTTTGCGTTTATATAGTTTCTAAAGCGTAGTGTGGGTCTGAAGCGTGATTGTTGTTCGTGGATTGTCTAGTACTTAATTTGATTGGTCGTTTCGAGCTTGGCGCTGAGTTGTGGTCTGCTTATCTTGCATCTGGTTGGCTCTAATCAGTATCGTTCCTTCATTTCGATTCGTGCATTCTGTTTTTCTTGTGCTTTGCGTTCCAGCCGGTATCTACGCCACTTGACTAATCAATTAGGCATGTTTTAATTTTAGTGGATATTTTTCTGTCGTCGTTTTTGGTTAGTTTGCCTTTTCCACTTCATTCTAACCTATCCATGGGGTGCAATTTTGCTTTACATAATCTCCATTTGATATTTTGTTGGATCTTGTAAGTTCAATTTATGTGCCTTCCAGTGGTATTACTTTTGCCCACGATTTTTTTCCAATTGTGGACATAGTGTCGTCAAACATTTTGTTAAAAAAACCGCTTGTTTGGCCACAAAACGCAAAAAATTCAGGGTTAGATTCAAGGAAATCCGGATAAATCCAGAAGCTCACTAGATTCCTAGTTGGGAGAGCAGAGGCACAATACTGGGAAAAAACTGAAACGTACTCGTCGTTTTTGCAAGCTATCAAGTGGGCCTCTTCAGCGGCAGCTGGATCTTTTAGCTCAGTTAGCGCTACAGCCAGCAATGAATACAGCATGCCGAGGGTGAATTTAGTGGATGTAGAAATGTGTCCCATATCGGCGGATACAGCGCATTTAGTTTGTTTCCTCAGTAGGTGAATGGATGCCGTGATATGCTGTAACGCACTCATTGGTTGATCAGTACGGAGGAAAACAAGACCCAGATTGGCGCTAATGGACCAGTCCAAAGGTGCAAGAACAATTGCTCGATTCAAGCAATATATGGCCTGAAAGTTGAAAAACAGAAAAACAATTGTGAGTTTCTAATCGTCCGTCGTCTACAACCAGGGTGGTTAAGAACTACACCGGATACTTATTCATCGAAGGTGAGGCGCACGCCACACGTATGGTGCTGAGCTCCCCTATGTCAACAGAGTTGGGATCACGTTGACAGCAACCTGAGAGACACGGTACAACGATCCACAAGTGAGATCCTCCTGATGAGAGGTCAAGCTAAAGAATGAGACGTAGCGCGATATCTTGTCAACCACAATGTGGCATGGTAGCAAAAGAGATTAATCAGCGACTGGAATAACCAGATTCCTTTTTATATGTGGTGCAGTCTTCTCAACGGTTTTCATACATGAAATTTCTGGCCGTTCGAGGTCACTCTCATGCATTACCTACATTGTTCCAGTCCTAAGCAAGTACTGAAGACAAAAAGTAGTGTGACTACTCCGCAGAATGACCCCGACCATTGCCACCTATGCCTCATACCAGCAGCAGTCGACCTGAAGATACGAACTACTGATATTCACCAACTTGCAGATTTGGAATCATCCAACGCACCCCATTCACATGGTCAGTGAGCTGCTATTATACACAGGGCCTTACTTACTGTAGCAAGTTTATTCACCGGGAAAAACGATCAGCAATAGAGAAAACTGTCACAGAAAGTACTTTTCTGGCTGATGCAATCCGCTTAAAAGTGTAATTTTCAGGTCATCAAGTACCTTCTTCGGCAAACACCATACCAAAATAATTTGTCGCCTCATTTTACCAAAAATTGTGATTCTTTTACCCGTGAGCCCCAAACCCTACTACAGAGGCCCATTGTTCCGTACTCATAATGACCCCGAGTCTGACCCAGAAATCTCACCGTAAAACCTCAAAATGGCACTCATCATTAGTTGTTCTAATTACTGCTTGGATGAGGAATCAGAGGCGGAAACCGATTTTCCATGTTCTTATAAATTTACATTCCAAGGTGGATCCTTTTGCCGTAAACGACAGCTACGATCATTCATATAGCACAAAATGGATATTCTGACTAGTTCCAATTAGTTAACCTGTTAGGCACATTACTCTCGCTCAAGAAGCGGAGATGTACAGCTGTTAAACTGCTTTAGCTTTAGTGTGACCCAAGAGCTGTGCGCAACTCAGAGAGATTCGAACCCATGGAGTTTCGGTCAATAGCTGAACACCTTACCTTTCAGGTAAGGCCGACCAATCAGCACTCAGACAGGATGTAGGGTAACTCATCTCACAGAACCAGACAACATGATCAGTTACTATACAGTCACGAGATTCAGAACTGCTACACAGATTGAAGGTCTAGCGAAATGAACTCACCCCGAGAAATTTCCGCTTCCCTAAAAGGGACATACCAATGTTGTTCCATAAGCTTGCGTTTTCTGGGGCATTTTTCAGTGCCAATCGAAACTTGGCCAACGCCGCATCGTAGTCTGCTTGCTGAAGCATGATGCTTCCAGTCGCAAGCAGGGCAGGGAAGTGTGTGGGCAGAAGACACAAGGCTGAGCCTAGATTTTCAAAAGCCGGCCCTTCTTCTCCAGCACGGATGTAAAGGAAAGCCAATTTGACAAGCAAATCTGGGTCATCCGGACTGAGGCTTTGTTTTTCAATGTCACATGAAGTAAATAAACGAAAAACAATGTAATTGTTATTTAGTGGCTTACAAATGCGTATTCAAGCAGAAAATAAGGTTGACAGGAACTTTGAGAGTGGGCCTGTCTGCTGGAACCTTAGACAGGGAACTCATTAGTGGGCTCTAAAACCGATCGTTTGGCGAAGTGTAGTCACCTAAAGTGTGTAAAGATGTAAAATACGCAAAACAACAAGACTTAGTCTTCCGGCAGTATGTCTGAATTTTACGTAACCTATTGCCGAAAACTTTAGGGAATACTGTATGAAACTGACTTCCCCACCATTAACCAATCAAATCCGCATTCCCAATATTGACGTTCTCGATTCGCATCTTGAAAGTTTTCTTTAAATGACTCACACTAGTCCTTTAACGCTCACCAATTGCGTCTGGTTTCAAGTGAAACGTTATCAAGAGTGATGACCAGGTGAGCTCCAGATACGTGGAACAATCACAAAAAGTATTGAGCGCAGTGAGATGTAAGAAACGAAGAGGGATTTCTACAAGAACTCCGCATTTAGAGAGCTCAAATACGTGTCTTGCAGTAAAAATCCCCGCAGTGTGTAAATACACATCAACGGATTTTGGTCGGTCTTGTTCAGTTCCTGTTAAGACCCTCGTAGAATGAACTTCCGTTCTACTGAAAAATTCATCTACACCCTACTAGATCTTTTGTGCTCCCGCTGTTATCAAGGGATGAGCCGAAACGTTTTATTGGGATTATTGTAAATATCTAGAGGACTGAAGCGAGCATTTCCGATCGGCCTATTTTACAGTTGCTGTGCCTGGGGTTCTCATTCAATTTCTGCTACAGTGACACAAAGTCCGATTGTATGGAATGATGGGACCGAATTAAACTTACATAGGTTTTCGATACCTAGACCTCAATACATCTGTCAGTTCAATACCGATGCAGACAGTAGAAACTCGGAGTGATATCAACTTTAATTGAAGTGAACGAGGTTTAAAACAGCCTGGTAGAAGAAACGGGAGACACAGTGCGACATGTTGACATTTATTCCGCTGTATTCAATCCGATTTGTGAGAACTGGAGGCGATATGTACAATAAAGGTTGCACAGTACAGAAGAGTTATATACTGGCTGGTAAACTTAGCTGTAGAAAGACAGAATGGCCAAGTAGCAGCTTTCAGCATCTTGTGTGCATGCAGATGGCATTGGTTCGAGTCGGCCAAGAGGCCTTCACTTGTCGTCAAAGAGTTTGTTTTGCAAAACGGTTCCGTAAGACCGCAGTGCGTCAGTTAGTTGATATTTGTTGGATAGATGCGTACCTGTAGACGGTTGCCGATTGCTACTAGCATTTAACCAGACGGCTGCTATTCAAACGATATTCCGACCGGTGGGTATGCTTCCTGATTTGTGTATATCTGTGCTGCATCTCCGCGGGTGCAGAAAGCAGACTAACTAGGATGCCCTATTGTTTAAAGCAGCCTCACATATGTGCAAACTAAGGCCCCCTGGCGGTCGGTTTGGTTTGTAGCCGTGGGAAAGCGGTAGACAACTCTCATCCAATCTGGTAGTTCACGCGGTGGTGGAACTAAACAAACCAGTATTCTTCGACAGCTAAATTAAGTGATGGGGACACTAATGCTTCATTGTCGTACAAAAACGGAGCTCGCTTTGTTATTATTAGGGTCCTAAAGCATCTAAAGTTCCCTATGACTTGAAACGCCCCATTCGACAGTCTGGGTTGCAACCGACAACAAGAATGCCACTATCGCCGATTTTTGCGCTTCCATCTAAGCGCAGGGTGCGTCAAGGGGACCTAGTCCCGAAAGGCGTGCTGCACCACCCATACCAAACCTTCTTAAAATCTATCTCACACCTTTTCGCCGAAGCACGCGTTGTCTGTTTCGCAGTTTGTACCATTCTCGAAGTAAACAAACCAGTATTCTTCGACAGCTAAATTAAGTGATGGGGACACTAATGCTTCATTGTCGTACAAAAACGGAGCTCACTTTGTTATTATTAGGGTCCTAAAGCATTCTAACGTTCCTATGACGTGAAACGCCCAATTCGACAGTCTGGGTTGCAACCGACAACAAGAATGCCACTATCGCCGATTTTTGCGCTTCCATCTAAGCGCAGGGTGCGTCAAGGGGACCTATTCCCAAAAGGCGTACTGCACCACCCATACCAAACCTTCTTAAAATCTATCTCACACCTTTTCGCCGAAGCACGCGTTGTCTGTTTCGCAGTTTGTACCATTCTCGAAGGGGAAACGAGAACAACACCGGTCTTGGCATGTGAAGCGCCTGGTCTAACCACAGAAGTCAATGGGGCCCAATGTTTCCATAACTAAATTGCATGTTGCAAAACCAGATATGCACATTCTAATAGCCTCGGTACGGACTCATCGTAGCTATCCGCTACCAGAAACGCTCTTATGACATCGGTGGCCAAAAACCTGGATCAGATCATCTGACTGCAGAGGTCGCGTCTTGCAATCGTACGACCACATGGTCCTTATTTTGTCCTGGCAGACAGCCATGTAGATCTAGTTACATGTCTTTTTGATGCCTAAATTGACGCAAATCGGTAACCAGGGTTCGGGACTTTGCAATTCGTGAAATGACTCGTGTAAGCACGATTCCATCCAAAACAAGACAAACGCCATTGCTTCACCTTGAACCGCACGAAACTTGTTCAAAGATTACACATTCTGAAGCATAACCTTGCAGTTTTGTAGATCTCATAAAAATTCCAAAAGACGATAGTATGGTGCTCAGTTTATCCAGTGGTTTCTATATGTTCTCTTTGCCTTCGAATATAAGGACAGCGATCTAAACGCAGATTTTTTTAAAACTCTTCGCCTAATAGTTCATTGTTGACGGAATTGAGCAGAGATGGAGAGGACGGATATACCTACCGGATGCCATTTGCTGTGGGAAAGCTTTTATTCAGCCTTCATACAGCTTCGCACGTCCAGAAATATATTAATACTAGAACCGTGGATGCCAAATACTTTGCTTCAGAACGTGAAGCGGATCATTTGGGGCCATTTGCTAACCCATTTAAGGCCGATATGTTAAAGAGGTCTTTTTTACAGACAGTATAAGCTAATTATCTTCGTTGGCTTCACAACGTCACAAAGCTAATGTCGAAAGCGATGTTTGGGACTCAAATTCAAGATATCTATGAGCGAATTGTACCCAGGTGACCGAGCATAGATTTCCAGTCTTAAGTTTCAACAGGTCCCCCAGGGATGTATTCTGGAATGTCCAAAAAATTAATTCAACAAAAAGGAATAAGACAAGCAGCCTACTGATATTCAGAGTAACTGCGGCTGCAGAGTTTTGCCAGGTCATCATCATTCGCGCCCGGGTTTATCACTTTCAGCGGTACTGACATCGTGGCGAGAAACAATGCATATGAAACATTTATTCGAAAAGCCCCAATGGTTTTTGATGCCCTGAAACATACTACTACTACCACAGCGCTACAAACTGTACTGAAAAAACCAAGTGATGCCACCTTGATTTCATACACTGCGCGGATTAATGTTGCATCAAAATGAGACTGTGGTGGCCGAACCCAATTCAAGATTTGACCCATATACAGGCAGTTCCTTTGAAAAAGAACTTACCTGAGAGCAGCTTTCATGGCATCAATAGCCCCTGATACATTTCCAGACTTATCACGCGCCTCTGCAAGCTTTTCCAATGGCCCGACATTTTGCGTGTGTTTGGCAGCCTCCAGAAAGTATTCCTCTGCCTTAGCATTACAACATCGTATTGAAAAAAGTAAGCTGATCTACCAATAGCCAATCTTTCTTGATGAGGTGGTAGAGTCCTTGATTGTAGTACAGTTCCTAATTTGGTACGTGCAGGGAAGCTGCTTTAACTTACCCAATCTTTCGGGGTTTGCCCCAATGCTGTGTGGTATAGATCGATGGCCTCATCGTGACTTCCGATTAAAGTTCTATGACAATTAAAATAGGGGGAATGTTATCACCCACAGGGAAAATATCACCCCAATCTTTCGGGGTTTGCCCCAATGCTGTGTGGTATAGATCGATGGCCTCATCGTGACTTCCGATTAAAGTTCTATGACAATTAAAATAGGGGGAATGTTATCACCCACAGGGGAAAATATCACATTTCGGGGGGGGGGGTTGACTGAGGCTGTTTCTTAGAAAATTGTGAAATTGTGGTTTGAATAAGGGCAATAAAGGGACATCTTGAACCTTCTGTTGTTATTGGCCGGCTCGACTAGGAATAAAAATGTGCAACCGTTCTATGCTTTGCTAGGTATGCTCTGGTCTTTACCACTGAAACAACCTTGTCATTTTGATGTGGTGACAAAGTGAGTGATTCTGCAGCTACTTTATGAGTGAACCCCGGTCAGTACTCCCTTGGAACAGCCTGTTTGAGCGGCAAAACTGCGCGCCTCATCGGAAGAAGGAATAATTGTTATCCGGAATGAGTTGATCCTCCAAAACTTAAATAGACAGTACACACCTCATTAAACCAACTGCATTTCGAACCAGCTGTGCAATGTGTGGATGAAACTCGGGGCAGTGAAGGATAACGCTTCGTCCGCTAGGAAATCAATCATCATTGGGCGAAATACACTCAGATGGTTTGTAACCCACTTGATTGTGCTTGTGTAGTCTAGTCTAGCCTAGTCTCGTCTAACTCTCATCGCTACCTTACACTACACAATCGTTTTCAAGTTTAGCTAACTACTCTCCTTGAAGTTCTTCTGGTGTTCACTACGACCCGGAGACAAATCTATTGTAAGTGTAAGAGACGTTCGAGTACCACGGTAGAACCCGGGCTACTGATGCGTTGATTTAGCAACTGAGCAGTTCTTGCCGCGAATCAGTCAGTCCTGTCAGTGGAGCCAGTCTGTGCTCAAAAGCCGAGACGTGCTGTACAAATGTTTCATTCCTATTGGGAACCATCTGCCTCAGCATCTCAAGGAACTCCGAGCGCTTCGAACCTTTCGGCTAATGGTTCACCCCGCTGACAGAACGAAATCTCAGTTTAAAATAACCTCACACTACAAATAAAATAACTTTTAGCGAATATACACTCATTTGCAAACTAATTTGGTTTTTGGAGAGACTCACCTGGAACCCAGCTAAATTTCTCGTTTGTGATGTTTTCAGGCAAATGGATGTACTGCCTCATATTTCAGTGTGAAAACATCACAAACGGGAGATTCAGCTGGGTTCCAGGTGAGTTTTTCGAAAAACCAAACTGGTTTGCAAATGAGTATATATTCGCTAATTTCATGTCATTTGGTTTCAAGTAGAACATAAGGTTGACGGAAACCTGCAGACTGCGCCTACTTGATGAGCCCCAAGAAGGACGAAACCGGTCGTGGGCTGTCGATGGATTTTCAGCAACCTTATGGATAGTACATTACAAGAATAAAGTTTGTTCAAAACAGCTTGCGCACAATGAACACTGTGGGAAACAGTGTGCATCTTGATGAAAACTGCCTAAACTTACTTCGACAATATGACTATGGGATGATGTTTTCACCTCTTTCTTGAAGATCTATCACGCCGTTTGTTTTGAAATGTCATCTACTATTAGCCGTTCTGCTCTTTTTACATAGTTTTATTTGATATACTTCTAATCTTCTAGCGCAATTTACTCCAGCCAAGTCAACCGGTCAAAGCGTACGCATTTAAAATGAAACCACGCAGGAAACGTTGACTCCCGATTATCATTCTGGCTCATTATCTAATTGACCCGTGGATCAACACTTATGACCCAATGCACCAATTCAGGAAGAAAAATGTTCTGATAGCATCGGACGGTACTATGAAGTCAACCAGGTGGCTCGTTGTGACCTGTGGCGATCACTCACTAGATCACGCGCGGGCGCGTGGTGGTGGGCCGAGGTGCACACCTATTTGTTGTCTGCGATGTAAAGAGAAAGGTGTCCATTCTTGCTTGGTAGTTTAAATCACTGGGCTAACTCGAAGTCGCGTTGGCAGACGCTCGGTGTCATATGCAGTCTGTAGGATAATATCTATGATGTTTCAAACAGTTTGATACCCTGACACTTGAGCAGAGTACCTCAAGGTAACATGGTATACTTGGTTAATTCGTGTCTACTGACCACTCTAATTTCTTTGAAACTGGACACATGTGAATGGTCATAGGCTTTCACTTAACTATTTTACTTTAATTAGGCTGCAGGATGTCAGTTTAGTCTACTGCAACTGTCAGTGTCTGACGATATGCGGCAACATCTACACAGCAGTCGTAAACTCAATTCCAGGCTAATCGATGTCCGGCCTTAAGGTATACAATCAAGTCTTTACATGACCCACTTAGCGGCAGATTCATCCTCATTACTGGTCTGAGTTGAGAGCCTTTCACAACGTTTCATCTCCCGCGACTCCCTGTGAGGTTCCAATAAACTCTTGGATGAATGTTTAGAATGTTGCACATACCAGCACAAAATTACAGGTGGCCACACATGGAAACCCGATTTAATTTGTGTTTTGTTCTGGTGAGGACTCAACACACACACTGTTTTGTTCTGGTGAGGACTCAAACACACACACACACCCGCAGTTGTTCCATTTTGGAGTCTACGCCCACAGTACGAACTTACGAAACTCCAAACCAGACTCATCTTGAAAATGATGAGGAATCACAAGGTACTATTCAAATAACAAGCGAACGCTATGACGGATTTTTTCCAACTTTGCCAATTCGTGCATAAGTACTATGTGTACGAGTGGAGTCAACGTCCGTGTAATGTTGCCAGTACTCTCTACATGATTAGTGCAAACCTTGACGAAGTGCGCAGAGAGTCAATCACTTAGTAATGTATCTCTCAATGACATTGCCTATTTTGTGCCCTTACGACTAGTAGTTTTCGTGCGTTACGCTTTATCCAACAGTTCAATATGGATGCCACCGCTCTTACTTACAAAATCATCAAATTGAATTACCTCAGCAGCCGATTGCTCATGTTGATTCTCACGCAGTTGCAGTTAAAACTAAGGACAGAGTTAAAAAAACGACCAAGAATGCATTTACACAATCTTATTCAATAGTAATCCCAATTTGCGCCTACCATCTGTCATTATATTACGGATGAAAAACACATTTTCGATCGCAAGGCACATGGGCGAGAGAACGCACGACCTCGAGCTGCAGCTATCACGCAAATTAATTACTGGATCTTAGCAATAAGAGCTAGTCCGGTTTCAGAAGACAGTGCATCTTATCGCTGCTGTTCTTCTCATCATCATCGACAACGTCATCACCATCACCATCAACTCACTAAATAAATCACATTTTCAAGACGCACCCCGCTTATTACAACATTCTAACTTCAAGGACTACGTGAATTATTTTTCTGCATCCTTATGAACGGAGGTCTTCAAATTCACTTAACTTTTCGCGTGGTCGTTACGACAGATGGCGGGTAGTACTGGGCGTGCTGTTCACAGCAATGTCATCATCCAGGATAGCTCAGGTTTTTCGCAAACGTAAGTAAGCAAAACTTGTAAGTTCGCCCGCTTTTTGTAATTAGGACACATTTTAAATGAGGGAGAATACATTTCCCAAGGGTCTGCTTATAAGACTAATCTTTTCAGTGAAAGGGGAAAATATACGTCATACGAATTGCACTCACAGAGATCGAGCTACATGTTTTCTATAAGAAGTGGAAGACGGGTCGAGTCGAGCACACATTAAAAACTGATCCAGTGACTCATGCACTTTTCCTTGTAACCGTTGAACCATACCCAGACATTCTAATGCGAACGCATTCTGGAATCCATGTGTGGCCAAGTTTGTCTTTATCAGGCTGACACACTGGGTGAATGCAGACTGAGTAAAAAGGATGTGAATGCGCCAGTTATCCGATTCTATGGGGGATGGTTCTGAAGGTGAACAAATTTGCAATGACACGCTGTTTTTTATAATAAAAAAACAAACCATTGCATGTAGTAATCTCAAACTGCATTGCCAAGCGACGGAATGGTTAATTGTTTCAGTGACCGTTGTGGTCAAGATTAATGTTTGTTGTATTGCTGTCCTGTGGGAGGAAAATAAGACAAGTAGTGATGGCCAGGAGGAGCAAAATTACTCTGTGAATAGCATCCAGAAACTGCACTGGATGTGCAAAATAGTTTAGAGATATTAAGAAATCCTATGAGGCCAGTAAGACCTAAGATCGGCTGTCCACTTTTAATATTTTTTAACGGAAAGAATGAACTGAGGTGTTCTGTCGTATGCACCAACACTTCGTTCTTTTTCGAATACTTAATAAACTCTTGCAGTGATTTTTAGTTCTGCCTTATTTATTCTACCTTCTGAAATGAAAGACAGAACCAGAAAGAACTTGAACGCTGCAGTTGTTCTATTGTCATATTTATTCCACGCACTTGAACACATCTTCGAATGTTGCTTCACTGAAACGAAATATCAGTTATCAAGAAATACACTCATTTGCAAATCAATCGATTTTCACCGAGGGACTCAACTGAACCCCTCGTTTGTGATATCCTAAAACCGAATTTTCTGCACAGAGGCCACCTCATGTTTCATTCTGCACGATATTCTAGATATCGCAGTATATTTTCATAAAGGAAACAACTCACAAGAATGCTGAACTTGTGCAGCACATTCAGTTGTGTAATATCGTAAACGAGAGGTTTAGTTGAGTTTCTCGTGAAAACCCAATTGATTTGCAAATGAGTTAACTTCTCGAAAACAGTCCTATTCGGGTTCAAGTAGAGCATAAGATTGAAGAAAACTCGGGGACTGCGCCTACCCGATGAACCCCAAGAAGGGAAAAACCGGTCGTGGGCTGTCGGAGGTTTTCAGCAGACTCGTGAGTAGTTTCCTTTATGAGAATATCAGATAGTTGTTATTTACTTTCCACGCTTGGTGTAACACAAGCTATTGTTCGCGTAGCAATACCAACGGTCTTTACGGTCTGTGAAAATCCGAAACTTTCGCACAAAGCTCCATGAAGTCTACAGCCGGCGACTTACTCTACTGCAGTGAAGGTAAGAGGATAGAAAAAACTGATTCTTTGAACAAACTTAAAAGACCAGTCTGATAGGCAGTACGGATCACTCGAAAAGCTTCCTCAGTGTTCCTATTTTTACCCTTCTTTGTAGAGTGCTTATCGACTGATTAGCATCGCAAAAGCAATTAGCCTCTAAACTGCAAATTTTAGAGTTACGTTCTTCAAATCTAATCACTGGTGAAACCGTTTACTTTTAAGCTTAAATAAGGGAAAGAATCAGTCGGATTCTCTTGGAGCTAGTGACAATTTCAAGTAAAAAGCGAGTCGTTTAAATCACCTGTGTTTTGACAGTGGCTAACCTCTCCGAAATAACCATTAATTTTTGGTTATCCTTGGCTTTATAAAAGGAAATATGCGTGTGCGCGCTCACACTAACAGGCCACAGTTATATAGTTGTTAGTTTCACCTCTCCAGGACCGCGATCTACATGTCGTGTTGAAGCCCTACAACGAAGTTGCCTACAACTTGGCCCAGTGAATTAATTCACCTATCCAAAGATAGCTACTGAGTCTAAACACACAATTTCCCGGCATATGATGGTGCTAAAAAATCTACAGCCCTTTTCTAAAATCATCATATAAAATGTTTTAGTGAGAGGGCAACAATCACATTGCAAACAGTTCAAGAGCGGTGGATTCACGGTGTATTCAAATAGCTTTAATTACTATACGGAACGCAACAAGATGGCTAATTGTATTTTTATTGGTTCATCTAGAAATTAATTGTACGTGTTTCTAATCTTACAAACTCTTTCTAGACATTTTTGTTATCGATTTTCATATATGTTGATCAGGACGGAGCTTCAACTATGTCTTGTGGAGGAATACAGTTTGCGCACAAAAATGTGTCTGGCAGATAAGTGTTGGACACTATATTAATAATCAGACACAGTTATGTGACGGCGTTGAACTTTTGCTGTTGAAGGTTTGTGGAATGGCCTTTAGGAACAGCAGACAGCTTTGAGGGGTAGTGCACCAACCACGTCGTGGACCCCGACCAGAATGGAACATTTGCGGACAATAAATAGTCCATTATACCGCCGATTCCTCATGTTTTCCAAATAACTATCTAACCTCTACTTAATTAATGTAGCGTCAAAGCCTTTCGGCTTACTATTTGTCCAGTATTAAAACAGAAATAGAAGCAATACTAAATGGTACTGAGTTTTAGTAGGCAAAATGACAAGGATAGCATCTTCCTCTTTTGGTCTCATCAAAAATCCTCTCTGTTTCTTGACTTCTCTGGACATTTTTTTTCCGCATCTGCGTGACTTTTGAGTTAACCGAGCATTGAGGAGTTTTCCTCAATAAATGCTGGCTGTTTTACCAGGTTGTATCAACCCCTTGGTCTCCAGACTTCCATGTTTTATCACTGGAGGAGATGAAGAGATATCGATTTTATCTGCAGGGTTTACCACAACTAATACTGAGTTTGCTGCGCACTCTCACATGCGTGGTGCTTTACCCTGGTGTACGAATTGTGACACAAATATAATCCACCCAACCAGCTGAAGCTCATTGTCAGCGCTCCGCAGCAAGTGTGGGTCATTTCAGTCATGTTGTCAGTTGGCATACTGTTTAGATTATTTGGGCACAGTATTCTGTAAATGTAAATTGATGTTACGTTTTGTTCAAGCAAGATGACGAGTGCACCAAGGTTGTTGCATATGGATCATTTGCCCAAAGCACCATAGGAAAACTTCCGGGTCCTGTTTTTTTGGAGGAGCCGAGTCACCATTTACAACGTTTCGTCACTTTAGTGCAACTGAAGGTCGCTAAAAGCAGCCTGGGTTTGACAGTCAGTATAGAGTTGTGCTTAACTGTTAGTTTGTTATGATGGTTTATCAGAGGTTCCCATACTTTGACTATTGTAAGCCAGTTGTCAGAGATGCATTAAGTTCCAAATTAGCACCCATCTAAAACTTTACATTTGCTCATCTGGCTGAGGCTGTCAATTTAGTGATCATTGGTTGGCGAATGCTTTAATTCTAGCCATAAAATAACTAACATTTGCTTTCCATGTTGGTGAACCTTCAAAGAAAAAAGGCGTCTGGATATGCACACGTGGTCCACCAGATACTCTGAGTGTGTTGATTAAAAAAAAGCGGCAACAGCTGGAGCCAAAAAGCCACAATAAGGTACAGTATCGGCCGACGCAGCTCATTACTTCAGCAGATCTGTCGCATCTCCAAGTATTATTATGGGTAAATCAGGACGTTGAGGATTTTCTGCTGTCTTCGTTAGCTGTTTTCACCAGCTTCAGCAGTTTGATAGATATCACTGTCAGATACCCAGAAGACTTGGTTCGAGTAAGTGTCTTTGCTTGTCATTTGTTGTATTTCACTACATAACACCCCTCAGTAATGGTGATCCATTAGCTTCCTGCCTTCATTCTCATTGACGCGGAAAAAACTATATAGACCTACTTTTGGCGTTTCTGGTTTGGTGAGATTCATAAGCCCCTTGCTCGACATCCTACAGCAGTTTACACTGGTTAAATTTTTTTGTATGTGGCAAGACAACCCAGTATATAAATACCAAGTCTTGTTTTGCTTTCACCTTCATTTTCAACCACAGGACAAGCCGAACTGCAATGGGAATCTGCAGCATAAAGTTTGAATGTTTGTCTGTAAGTGACTTCTGAACACACCAAGCCCCTTACTCCGGTAATGGTGTCCGTCTAGTTGTTCTTACCATCGCTAAAATTTAGCTCATCAAGCTGTCAATCATCAAGATGTCTGCCCCCCTGAAGCTTCCGGCTGGCCGCAGGTTTGCCATTAACTGCGGGTTGTTACTAGCTTCCACGGTTCCTGGTACTCTAGGAAATACAAGCCTTTATCTGCCTAAGTAAACAGTAGGTCGTGTATGATGCCCGCTGTCAAGGGAAGCACCAAGTCGGTTGACGAACATGCTGAGCAAGCCCACATGCGCCTAACACAAGAAAAGCAGCATATCCACGATAATGAGCGCCATCAACTGGCTATTTACTGTCAACACTGGCACATTCAAGTTCCCTGTTAATGCGTAGCTTTGGTTGTAGCAGTATTCCCGGATCGAAGTGTTCACTTTAGCTGGTGACGAAGTTTTGCGGACTTCACAGAAGACGATCACCAAAACGTCTAATTATCCGACAAGGTACCACCTCTGATAAACCATCGGAGTCTTATTAATCTATGGGTGTCTGTATATATTTGGCTTAATACCATCTGGAACAGTAGTGAACCAGCAGTGCAAAACTTAAGTTTAATTAAGCTTACTTAAGACATAATTAAGTCTACAAACTAGTTGCTCTACTGTGTCTCAATTAAACGAGTGAAGTCAATTAATTACTGCAATTCATCTCGTTCCCCACCAAACTACTCATGACGATATATGTAGGCTTTGCAGTGGACAACTGACTGCCCGGACATCCAAGGTAACGGAGTTGCGTTGCAACTTCCTCCTAACCATCCGAAAAACTCGCAGGTAATGATTGGTTCCCCAACGTATCCTCAAACCCTGTATAAAAGTCTCATTGCAGAGCTTAATAAGCATCAGTTGATGTTGAGCTTTGGTACTCTGTGAACTCCGAAGGTTGGACTGTACCAGACACTGTTGACGTTCATTGTGATTCATTCCTACCGTGTTTCGGTATATAAATCCTTAATTTGCTACTGAGTTGACACTCTGTTTGCCAACTGTTTTTGAACCTTCATTCGCATCGTATTCTTTTCTGTTTCAGATAATGTAGCCTTCTGACAATAAAGGAAATGTTAGCCGTAAGAACATCAAAGGACTATTCCTGCAAATGAATGAGTACGAAAATCCCTTGAATTAATGCCAAGCAAGCAGAATATCTTATTAATGGTTGCAATGAACACTGACAATCGTTTGAAAACGTTTTTGTATCAAGGTTGCTAACGTCCTTGGAAATCAACAAATCCAAACGCTGTGGGGCGGGGGGCAAAAATGTGCACAATATTACGTTCATCCCATCATACGTTGGAAAACACGAAAAATAAGGAGGTCACATATAAATTTAGAATCCTCGAAGTGTGGACTTGGAGAATCTTGGCAGTACTTAGCCTTACACTCGTGCAATGAGCTTTTTCCCACCGCAATACACTTCTGCGAGACAGACGAAGACTCGCGCTGTTTTCGGAATTACTTGGAGAAAATCACGCTTTTTTCGCTGGCTTCTGAGAGATGGCCTAGAAAATGTTTGTTAGGTAGCCGTTCTTTTGTCTGCGCAACATTCACATTCATTCTCAGTCGCCAAATAAAATTCCACCTGGACTCCTATAAACAGAACAGACCAGGTAAACTGTTGGAATTTTTGGAGTCTTCGCGTTTGGCACGGCTACTCATCCTTATTTTTGGTTGCTCGCTCATCCCTGGATGGGTGTTAATACTGACGCTCTGGAGCCTGCCAGCCGATGAGTTTCACGTCGGCGATGGACTTCCAAAAATATACACCGGAGTTGCCTGGGAGCACTGGCAAAACAAATCGGATTACTGTTGGGGGCGGTTAAAGGATGTTCTTGGCGAATGTTTCCCGGGGTTGACAAGCGCTTTCTTCGCTACGTGAAGCAGTCTGGTTTCGGAACCTGGAAAGCCCGGAATATTTTTAGCTATAGAGTGGAAGTAAGTGATGTTCGAACATTATAGCATTCCAGAACATTGTGATGACTTTGAGCGAGAGATCTGTTTAGGAAAACAAAATTAATGTCAATCGATCGAAAACACATGTTGAGGACCTAATGGTGCCGTGGCATTGTCAGCGTGTCAGACTCCACTGAAGAAGCCACACGTTTCTGAAGACGGCTACATGGTGGGTGAACAAAAAGCCCTGAAGTTCACAGGGATGTAGCTAATCGCCAGCTATGACTACTTAAGTAACTGAGACTTCGAATCACAATTTTAGAGAGCAAACGAATAAATGGAGAAAGTCCAGTCACCAAGGAAGAAGAGTCTGTGTACTGTTTCAACGCACTTTCTCAAATCAGCTCACTTCATCAAAGTACCAAGTATTAACCGTGGAGCGCTCATGATTGTATTCTGATTATTATGGTTGTTGCTTTATCGTTTTTGTTAAATCTGAGGAGGAATGTTTTTCATTTTGAACGCTATACCGCTAGGCACGGAATCCTAACCATATGAGAGCAGTTAGGCAGTTGTCATCATTAGGTAAGCGTATGTATCCTATCCTGTGGCAAACTCTACCGCAAATGCGGCTGCAGACTGTTAAATACACATGTCTGGGTTTGGCAGTCCGGCGAGCCAACGATTGATCCTGAGTCTCCGGGATTCAAAGAACTTGTGGATACCAATCATCAAATCTGTCACAGAAGTTGGGTGTTACTATCCCCCCTCTATTTTGGGAGTGAGGAAGAGCCATTTTTATCTAGGATTCCGAGTGCATTAAGCATTCAAAGTAATCTTGAGAAACGCTGCAGTACTATCTTCCTCAACTCTTTCAAGATGTTCCGTCGAACGTTTGAAAATGACAGCGAGGAGTCTACTGGCGCGCCAGGCTGCTTAGCTCTACCGCGAAAAACCATGCTTCGTGTCCCCACTTGTCACGTTCATAGTCAAAGTACGAGGCTGAGCCACTTCTGGTATGTGCAAAATTTGACATTTTTTAACGCTGAGCGGATGTCGGTGGACGTTTCTGAAGATCTGGAAGAATGAAACGGTGATCAACATCATGTATATGCTTTTGGCACGGCCAGGCTTGACCTGAACGTCGTGTGACGGTTTTTGTGCCTACGCGACCCACTGAGCGTCTTACAAACACTCACGGGGTGTCCCGTGGAAGACTGATTAATGTTCAGTGGTCTGTTCGATAAAATCGCGTGATGCTCCGGATTGGGGGCTGGAATATTCCTGGCAACTTGTGTTTCCCATAAATTGCCGGCCAAACATCGCTGACCTGGTCAGACTTTTGGGCCAAATGCCTCGGTTGGTGGCCACGGTCGTATTCCTTTCTTTTTGTTGGCGTACTGGAAATGCGGCGGCCCACACGCACAATAATGACTCTTGCAAATAACAACAATAATATTTATTTTCGACTAGCTGGTGGCATACCGTCAGGCATGATCATACGGTTGAGCACGACCGGGGGTATTTGCGGGGATATCACGGAAAAAGAACAATGTCATTAACAGTGAGCACTACCCTAAGTAGACTTGACGACGCCTCAACCGGCACGAAAAGTGACAGTTACCAGGAGTTTGTTTTACAAGCTGAGACAAGATCAGATTGCAAAGGTTTGAAGGTAGTGGGCAAAAACAGAACGAGTGAGCGATGTATCATGAGAAAACTTCAAATTGCGAAAAATGCTGTACCACAGCAACGAATCTGGTACGGTAGGTAGATTGTCACGATCTGGCCGGTCAGTGTGAACTAAAGTCTACAACCACCGATGAGATCTATTTGGCCTTGGACCGCTGACCAGGGTCATAAAAGGCGAAAGTGAGGGGGGTCGAAAGTGAGGGGGATGAAGTGAAAGTGGCGAGAGTCTCAGTCGTGACATGCGCTTAAACTGTAAATACTTACTAGTGTCACAGTTGGAGTGGGTTCTGTAGTTAAAGTTCCTTGGAGAGAGGACTTTTGTGCTAACTCACAAGATGAGGCGTGAACTTCACACAAAGTGACTGGCTTCTTATATTTGAAACGGAAGGTTCATCGGGTCAGAATGAACCAGCCCCGCAGGTGGCTGGGGCCAGGTGGAGTGTTTGTTTGCAGTTGTAGTTAAAGTCAATATTGGGCGATGACATCGTCAAAAGCAAGTGGTGAATAGTTGCGGGTATTCTATCAAACTGGGTATATTATTGCCATGCTATCATTGCATTGACATACTTCGGTTTCAGGACAAACCTGTAACGGGCGTCATGTTTGAGGCGTTTAGGCTGGGAATTGCAGTTCTGCGGGTAGCGTGACTTTGGGGGTGTTGTTGGTCCAGGAACCGTGATAACGGATATCGAAGACGTTGTAAGGTCACAGGCATTTTCTGGTCCGGATGGGGATCTATTAGTGTGTAAACAAAGATCAAATGAACTGAATAACAGTCAGACAGGGCGTCAAATCAAATGCAGCCGAAGGTCGAGACTTGGGATTAAGACAGAATGCGACGACATCAGTGGGGCCTGGTGATTTTCAAAGGTATCAGAAAGTAGTGAGCCCAAACACAAATAAAAACTGAACATTTGCCACAATCGGGGTGATGACAACAAGCAATTAAATGGGACAGGATGTGGGTAGAGGTGTACTTACCAGTCTTGCAATGTAGGCTATTACAGAACCAAAGACATCAGTTATAAGTACGGAGAGCCGTGATATGAAACGGGGAAGCAAATACAAGAACTGACAAACGCAAAACTTCTGGAATTATTGACTAAATTTTGTGGAAGTTTATTCAATGCTCTGGAAAATACCATAATCGGCCAATTCGGTCGTCACGTTGTCACAAACAGGGTCGCCTCGCTCGCTGAACGCACCGGGGAAAAAGCAAAGCTGTGATACCCTGCGGGGAGTGTTACCCTGTTGCGTTGCACCACGGTGCTTTCATGTGCCCTCCACCCCTCTAGTAGCAAGGGTGCATTGCCCATCGACGAAAGTAATCACCCTGGCTTTTAAATTCAGGAAGAGCACTGCTGTCTTCTGTTAGTTGCTGCTGGTTTTGGACTCGCTTCGGTTCAGTTAATTACCTGGCAACGCCGTACACTAGGATGAAAAGCTAACCTTTCGTCTGTCAAGAAGACCATATACCTGGGACAGCCTGAAAATACTCTGCACTGCTTATTTGCATAAATTAACGTGCGTGTTTGTGGCTTCCTTCGTCAGAACAGAGGCAACACCGCACCAGAACCCACCTCGCCATAAAAACGCCCACCTGCTGCTCCCGGGAGTGAACACATACAATATGTACAGTGAGACTCCAAACTCTTTACTACCAGCATGCGAGGCTGGCGTCGAAAGTCTTGTTCTCTATGCACCACTTACAGATAAAACATGATAGCTGTGCTTCGATGACCGGTGACCATCCCTCCTACATTCGCCTTCCCTCCCACGTTGTCCTAGTATTGTCCAACTCACTAATAACGTCCATGGAATATAGTCCGCCATCCAAGAAATTTCACCCTTGCCATTCCTTACGTGTTTGATTTCCCTAACCACACCGCCTCTCTGCCTGCTTACATCGAACTGTCATCTATCTCAGGCAGTATATTAGCATATATTGGCAAACTTGACCGAATTTGATTAACTTGACTAATGAGTGTAAATTCATCCCTATCCCGTCTCGCTCAACCACTTGTTGTCACTATCCCTAATAAATAAATATCCTGTCTGGTGATTCCTATAACTCTCCAGTCTTTATCGATCTCATTCAATTTCACCTTCTTCCCAGGTTTCGACCTGCGGTAACATGTGCCATGCACGTCCTATTTGTCCATTATCCACCCCACACAATCTGTGCATTACACATGAAGCGTCCTTCGATCGGACGAACACAAATACCACCTGAAATATTACATTGGTTTTGCTTTTCCTGCGGAATCCCCTGGAAACCCACAACATCCGACTGCTCACAGATTTGCACATTCTAGCGCAACAACCTCAATCACGACGTTCGTCACGGGGCTGTCCAGAAACACATGTATCTCGGTGCACTGATGACATGACACAACCATGCCCAGTTTGATAGCATACCAGCAGATGCTCACTTCCTTCTTTAACTGCGCCCTCTCGCCCTCACCTGAAACCACAAACAAAGTCTTAATCTGACCCCATCCGCCTCCGAGTGGCGTTCATGACAATCCACTGAACCTTCCATTGGATCTGAACATCTCGATGTCTTTTAATTTTTATTCCTCACCAAGTCAGTAACTTTTCGTGCAGTTCCCTATCCTTTTTGTGCGTTTGCATGAACTCCTC